GATATCTCGACTACTAAAGAGAACACCTGGGAGATATTTGTTGATGGGGTATCAAATTTCTTGGGCTCAGGTACTAGGATCATAATTAGCAGTCCAGATAAGCTAACCGAAATTCAGTGTGCACTCCGATTCGAATTCGAAGCCACCAACGATGATGCAGAGTATGAGGCTGTCTCATTCCTCTGGAGCTATCCAATAACCTTGGAATTGTACACGTCAAGCTCTTTAGCGATTCAAAACTCGTGGTTGGGTAGATCTAAGGATCATTCGAAAGAAAAAAAATGAGAAGATGAGTTTACAATGTCTGATAGTACATTATCTTCAAAGACGATTCAAGAGAGCACCCCGAGCACGACTCTCATGGCTTGTTTTTTACAATTACGGGACTAATGTGGAGTCATAGGATCCTCAGGATACCTAGAGGACTTTCGATGACGGACAACGCTAATCACGTTGGTTCTCCTCGAGGGTTACTCCTCGGGTTTTTCCCTTAGCCTAAATTCTAAACTGTTAAAGTAAGGGTAATTCCCACCTCTTAATAACTTCAAACCTATCCAGATACTCCACTTCAAGAATCCTACGTCCAGAAGGAATCTATCTTGAAAAATACTGCAGTTAATGTATGATTAGACTTATAATTGTGGTCCAACACTTATCCCAATTAGAATTACTAAAAATAAAGATGCCAAATCCTATTAGGAGTGCACTACCTACCTCTATAAAAAAAAAGGCTCAAATTCATTATTTAGGTACATTGTTACATATGATTTTCAGCACCCAAGCTTTTTCATACTCTCTGACTTAAGTATCGGAGGGGCAACGAGGATACACGTCGACGCCTTTGTTTCAGGTACTGGAAGATCACGTTTGTGCTCATTCTAAGTCGTCAAGCTCGAAATTCAACAGGTGTGATTGTTGGTAGCATTAATTACTTTAGTCTAAATGAATTGCTATAAATCAGTCCACTAAAGTCTACTTCAAATGCCCAAGAAAAGCAAGAAGATGTATCCAAAACTTGCTTTTTAGTTATCAACTTTATCCCTCCATATTCTAATAGCCTTAGCCTCAGATCCAGATCTTGTTCAAGATTTTTGCATCCCAAACACAGAATTCAATTCTACAAGAACAACAGGATTTAACCTCGTAACACGCAAAAATCCAGAGGAAGTTAGTCCAGAAGAATTCGTGTTTTCAAGCATAAAATCACCTGGAAATTTCTCAGACATAGACCTTTCGGCCATATCTGTGAATCCTACAGTATTTCTAGGACTCTACACGCTCGGCATGTCATTTGTACGTACTGACCTTAAGGTTGTGTCGAATCACTTTTGAAAGCTTATGCTCGTTGTTAGATATTTTTCATCATTTTGCATGTGTTATCTTTTGTTTTACGAATGTTTTGCCGTCCCAACTAGTGTTTGTCGCTATGCAACAGGGATCGACCTGCCCGGTCAGGTCGCCGGGGTCGA